TTTTTTTTTTTTTTTTTTTTCTCCTTTTTTCTTCTTTTTTGTCTGCTTCTTCTTCTTTTCTCCCTTTTTTGTCTCCTTTTTTGTCTCCTTTTTGTCTCCTTTTTTTTCTCCTTTTTTTGTCTCCTTTTTTTTCTCTTCTTTTGTCTCCTTTTTTTGTCTCCTTTTCTGTCCCCTTTTTTCTTTTTGTCTCCTTTTTTGTCTCTTTCTTTCTTTATCTTTTTTTTTTTGTCTCTTTTTGTCTCCTTTTTTTGTCTCCTTTTTTTGTCTCCTTTTTTGTCTCCTTTTTTTGTCTCCTTTTTTTTGTCTCCTTTTTTGTCTTTTTTTTGTCTCTTTTTCTTATATACCCTTGTTAGTCCTTTTGCTGCAATTACCCTTGCTGTTGCTGCTGCTGCATTTGCTGCATTTGCTGCTATTGTTGCTGCTGTTGCTGCATTTGCTGCTATTGTTGCTGCTGTTGTTGTTGCAGGGGAAGTGTATGGCGTGGTATTCAGCAGAATATATTAAGTTTCTTAGGTTTACAGCAGCAGCAGCAGCAGCAGCAGACAGCAGCAGCAGCAGCAGCACTGCTGCATAGACCAGCAGAGACAGTATTAAGACCAGATAGATTACCAGGAAATTGTTTTGCCTTTAGAGGCAATAAAGGGAATATAGCTATTATATTACCTACTGCTGTAGGCCTCCTGCTGCTGCTGCTGCTGCTGCTGGTGCTGCTTGCTGGTGCTGCTGCTGTTGTTGCTGGTTGTGCTGCTGCCGTTGCTGCAGCTAAGGCGACCGTGTTGCTGTTGTTGCTGCTGTTGGTGTGCATACAGTATGGGTATGGGGTAGTCATTACACTTCCTCCTTATGCTGCTTGTGCTGCTGCTGCTGCTGCTGCTGCTGCTGTTCAGGTGTACGTGCATGCAGTTGCTGTTGATGATATGGTGTCTTCGTTATCAAGAGACACAGCCCCAAAACGCATGCGCGTATGGGGCTATGCAGACAGCAGCAGGTTATATGCTCCTCCTCCTCCTATCAGCAGCAGCAGCAGCAGCAGCAGCAGCAGCAGCGGTAGTAGTGGTAGTATTACGGGCTCAGAGGCTGCAGATAAGAGCAGCAGCAGCAGCAGCAGCAGCAGCTGGATGTCATCGGTGTTACCTTCAAAGCCAGGCAAACAAGAAGCAGCAGCAGCAGCAGCAACAGCAGCAGACACAGCACCACCACCATCAGTACCAGCAGGTGGTGTGCTGCTTGGTGATTTTGTGCTGCAGCAAGGCAGCAAAAGCTGCCGTTTTAAGGTGCAGCAGCAGCAGCAGCAACAGCAGCAGCAGCAGCAGCAGCAGCAGCAGCCACTAAAGAAAATAATATTTGAATTCTTAGAGAACTTCGGCAACAGCAAGTATACATGCATATATAGATTAAGAGTACATGGTACTAAGGCTGTGCTGCTCTCCAGCAGCAGCAGCAGCAGCAGCAACAGCAGCAGCAGCAGCAGTGGTAGTAGTAGCAGCAATAGCCGTTAATTCTGCTCCAAAATGAGCAGCAACAGCAGCAGCAACAGCAGCAGCAACTGCAGCAGCAACAGCATTTAATCCTATAGGTTTACTATGAAATGCTGCAGCTGCAGCAGCTGCAGCAGCTGCAGCTGCTGCATTCATATTTTGCTGCTGCTGCTGCTTCATTTGCTGCTGCTAATTATACTACTAACTGACATTGTTGCTGCGTAATCAGCAGCCTTTGCCGTTTTCCTGCAGCAGCAGCAGCAACTGCAGCAGCTGCTGCAGCAGCAGCAGCTGCTGCTGCAGCAAGACCTGCTTTGAATACATCCGCTATTTCTTACTAACCTTAATGGAGACTACAAAAGCTCCTCTGGGTCCCACAGCAGCAGCAGCAGCAGCAGCAGCAGCAGCAGCAGCAGCAACAGCAGCAGGTGCTGCTGCTGCTGTTGTTGCTGCTGTTGCTGTTGCTGCCATACATTTGTTAAGGCATTTGTGACTATGTCTCTAAGCTTCCCTGCTGCAGCATGCTGCTGCTGCAGCAGCAGCAACAGGTTGATGCTGCAGCAGCAGCAACATGTTCGTGCTGCTGCAGCAGCAGCAACATGTTGCTGCTGCCCTGAAGAAAGTACAGCACAGCAGCTGCAGTAGCTGCAGCAAAAGCAGGATAGTGTTGCTGCTGCCCTGTAGCAGGTACAGCAGCGCAGCAGTTGCCGTTTCTGCAGCAGCAGCAGCAACAGTCTCGCTGGTTCTGTTGCTGCTGCTGCTGCTGCAGCATTTGCTGCTGTTATTTAGTACACACACAAGAATTGAATATTGCAGCAACAGCAGCAGCAGCAGAGCTATTGCTACTATTGCTGCTATTGTTGCTGCTGCTGCTACTACTACTGTTGCTGCTGCTGCTGTTGCTGCTGCTGCTGCTGCTGCTGCTGCTGCTGCTGCTGCTAGAGAGGACTAGAAGCAAATGCGTCGTCTAACAAATCGACCATCTCGCTCTCTTGGACTTCGCTGCTGATGTCTGTGTCGCT